GTTTTTATAGGTTCAACACAGGTAGATGTTTTTATAGGTATTTGTAGTATGTTTGTGAAGCGAGATTTATAACTTACAATGTATCTATAATACCGTATTTGCGTGAATATTAGGGTATCATGCACTTATGTAAATTATGAAGTGTTGTGGTCAAAATAAGTGATATTTTAAAGAATCAGTCTACAAAATGCAATTTTTGTTTTATTTGTATGTGTACGTTTTTTGGAAATCAACTAATAATAGAGCTAATGACATATACAAAAACTGAAGATAGATTTATTATTATTATGTAAATTGAGGCTGGTCATTCAGCCAAACAAAAAGTTCAGAAATTTGCTACATTACAAAACTAAATATTTTCCTGACAACGATGGGCAGCTTGACAGCACCATTTTCAAACATTTTGCTCATACATGAATGAATATGTTGAGCACTCAAATTTTCAATAGTTATTGATAATCCAAACTTGGCATGAATATCAATAAAGTTACATTTGTTGAGGAAGTTATACAATGTATCCTTTTTGATTTCAATAGTTGATCGTCGTCGACTTCGTTTAATGACACCAGTGTATGATGATGAGTTTTCAACTGACTACATCAATGCAAGCTTTGTGAGCGTAAGTATTTATGTGTTATTTTCCTCATATTGCGATCATGTAAGAATCTACATTATTTTCCTCATATTGCGATCACGTAAGAATCTACGTTATTTTCCTCATATTTGCGATCATGTAAGAATCTGCATTTTATGTGAATATACAATTGGGATTATCACATGTATCACGTTTGCTGGCATAATGGTGGTGAATCAAGCATTATTCATTGATTTTATATGACATCTAAATCCGATAATAGAAAATCAAGTAAATATTGAAATTAATAATGAAGTTTAATGATTTGTGTGCAAACCAAAGAACTTGAAAGAAAATATTTGTGCAATATTAAATTCAACGAAATTTAACTCGCTGCAAATTTCACCTTTTCAAGGTTTTAATACTAGAGGTAATCTTTATTTATTTGGCATATATATCTCTCACATTTCCATGATTTGCTCAAGTCACCTTTAATGTATCATTACATACTAAACTATAACATTTTATTAATCTGCGTAGGCATATACAGTGAAAGAATCATTTATGGTGACTCAGATGCCATTACCAAATACTATTGTAGATCTGTGGAGAATGGTTTATGATTACAAATCAACGTCTATTGTTATGCTCAATGATATGGATCACAATGATAAGGTATGTATTCATGGTGACTCGGATGCCATTACCAAATACTATCACATATCTGTGGAGAATGATTTATGATAAGGTATTATTCATGGTTACTCTTATGCTGTTACCAAATAGTATCATAGTTCTATGAAAAAAAGCATTACAAATCATCTATTATTCTCAATCATATGGATCAACATAATTTATTCAAGTATTGATTTGTTCCCAACTTACTTCAAAATGTATTGTACTCATTTTGCTTTTTTCTCTGCAAACATGCTTGCTGGGGCTATCTACTTTTATCGGTTTGAATTATCTGTTGCATATGTACATGTTCATAAAGTACCTGTACTTGTATATTTCAGACTCTTGGACAATACTGGCCTGATGAGGGCGTTATGCAGTGTGGACCATTCCTGGTAGAGACTGTGAAAACTGATAAAATGAAAAATATAACAACAAGAACGATACAACTGACAAATGTGAGTAAAGTGGAAATAGCATACCAAACCGTAAATCTTTAGCCAACAGTTGTTTATGGTCTTATAAAAGTAACTTAATTTGTAGCCGTTTGATTTAATTTACTGTCTTAGATTTAATAATTGGTTCATATATGCCATGTACAAATCTATGCTATAATGTATTATTACAATTGACACACACAGTTGTCTTTCCAAACTATGACTTATTAAATGAGGTATGAAAGAAATTAAATGAGGTATGAAGGCGAGTGCATATATGGAGTGAATTGTGCAATATCAAGTGGTATACCCAACTTCGGCGGGGGTTATTGCTATTATATTATACCAGTATATTGACAATTCGATAAAACTTGTAAAAAAAGAGTTTACTTTCATCTACTAAAAGATCATGATTATGGCCCTTGAACATGAATATTTATAAGAATAGTATGTAGTTGTACGCTGAATGCATACAAAAATTACATGCGCAACACAGTTCAAATTGAATACAAACTAATTTTGTATTCCACATGAAAAAAAACCATCCACGTTGAATAGAGCAGCGTAAACACACAAATTAGCATAACAAAGGATGACCTTTCTGACCTTTTACTGACGCACAACGCGATTTGAAATACAGGGTCGTGTACAGTTTGGATCATTTAAACAACGGATTTTCCACGTTTTCATTCCGGTTTTTGTACAATTTGGACTGTAATTTGCCCATTGAAAGTACAGTTGTGAAATAAACCGGTTTTGTGACTCATCATACTACTTGTAACTGTGTATATTTGACGTTCAGCGGTACGCGGCGGGACGCGGTGTATCATGTACGGCGACCGGCACAGCGACCTCAGTTCAAACATCTGACC